ACAACTTTAATTAAAAGCTCAAAAGTAAAAAATCATCTCAGTATTTAGCAAATTGACTATGAATGATTATGACCGTTTGTGACCGAACCCATCCCTAGTTACATCTGGTGGTAAGTATGAAATGGAGCTAGCAATGAAACTTTGCAATCCTATAACATTGTGCCTGGCTACAGCCGACAGTTGTTATAGAAGTATAAGCAGAATATGATCACGCCTGGCTACAGCCGGTGACTATTCTTGCTTATAAAGGTAACCATTATGATTGTGTCTGGCTACAGCCGGCAGTTTTGATGGGCTTTTTATTATCTATAATTTTCAAAGCATTTATTTTAATTATCACACTAAGTTTCAATCACATTTTTATTAGTCTATCAAGGTATAGAGCGATGCTATCAAAGAGAGAATACGTGGATCCTAGGCCATTTAATGGGAGTCCCAGCATCATGTTTATTTACTCTCTCGCTTTCCAGGTAAATTCTTACTAATTTTATATGTCTCTTGCTAATTACGAGATTCTCACAACAATACTTTTTCTACAATAGATTTCCGAAATAAACTATCCTATACATATGGGCCGTCAAAAGTAGAAACCAAGGAATTTGACAATTCTTTGAAAATTAATCTGTTTGATTGATCAGATGTAAAATTTAAAGTCCAATCTTTTTTACTTAATAATGAAAGTCTGATTACTTAATAAATTTTTACGATATGGTGTATGCACTGTCATGGAGAAAGAAAAGGCATTTGAGCATATTTTGAAATCTGCTGAGGGTAAGTTCTGGATCTTACTATCATAAAATTACTTTATGAAGAAGCTGAATGCTACAAAGGGTTGAAAATAAATTGTTAGGCGTGTCGATTTTAGAGTCCTTTCCAGTGGACTTTTCATTGGTGTGTTTTCGCGTCCATTGGCCATTGGATTTATCGGTGCCTTTTTTGGTGGACTTTCCAGTCGAGTATTGGCAGATGCATTTTGCAAGAACGCTACACTGACCACGTTAGCAGTAATAATTAATATTCAAAAGAATGGTGATGAATTTTTAGCAACGTGGGTAGATGGAATACGATATCTAAATTATAAATATGATTATAATAAACATATAAATGAATATTCACAGTCACGTATACCATCGTATAAAGTGGAGCTTAAAATATTGACACGAACACAAAGTTTATTAGATAAGTTAAATGAAGTAAGTTAAAATACTTATTAATTAAT